GCACTCCCGAACGCGATGGGTACCTTTGGTTGTCCCGTCTTTAGGGTCTGTACTCTCTAAAAATTAATCAGTGCATCATTACTGTAAATCAGTGAATATTCATTGTTTTCAGTAATAAACCACTGAGTGATTTTTAGAGGGTAACCCTTCAGGGTACTTAAGCCCCTCCACCACGACAAGGTAGTACCCGAGGAGGGGATTATCAACAAGAAACTGTGCAATTACATATGTGTATATATGGAAAAATGAATTTTGAATGAACATAAATTAGTGTTGCTATTTAATGCACGACGTGAGAGAGATTCATCCAATCGAAAGATTAATTCGCACTTTCGATCTTGGGACAAAATCAATTTTCTCGGAATTTATCAATAATGCCTCATAAACTAATAATCCGAGATGAGCCATTCTTATCTCGTTAGAAGCGCTGAAATCTTAGCTTTCCAACGAGACCAAGATCATCTTGCTATGATTTTTCTGTGCGACGATTTTGACGATTATATCGGCTCGCGATCTTGATCTCGGAAGAAAATCAATTTTATTTTTAGAAATATTAAACGATATCTCATGAACTAATAATCCGAGAGAAGCCATTCTTATCTCGTTAGAAGCGCTGAAATCTTAGCTTTCCAACGAGACCACGATCATCTTCCTACGATTTTTCTGTGCGAAGTTATTGACGATTATATCGACTCGCGGTCTTAATCCTCATTCAGAAGCAGCAGACGGCGCGTATATGCGGCGTCTCGCGCGACGATGTTTACTGCCGAACAAGTGTTCCCCGTATGTTTTTATTCCAGTTTTTTGGGGACGTAGTACGCTCACATACTACTTGCGTAAAATTCGCGCGGCCTTCTTTCATGAATGGTGCGCGCGCGCCCGATTTTTAAAACGCTATAACTCAGCGAAAAATCAACGTAGCGACACGAACCAAAAACCAATCTTTTTCGTTTCGCATCCCGCAGATATCTATGCTGAATATGTATGCCGTTATCATAAAACGTAAACACGGCAATGTAATAAAAAGTAAAATGCTGAAATATAAATTATACATATAATCAACTTATTTCATCGTATTCAGTCTTCCTTCGTCGGACCAGATGGGACCTACCTTTCGTTGCTCCTGGCCATACGTCTGGTCATTTTGATCAGAGATCAGAAAGGAAGAAAACTCCTTCCATAGTCAATTTATGAGATATCATTCAAAAATAAAATTGATTTTGTCCCGAGATCGAAATAATCTTCGCATGGAAAAACAGCAGTAAGAAAATCTTAAGTTTATTTAAAAGCTAAAATTTTTGCGCTTCCAAAAGTGCAATTTACCTTGAATAACTAGTCTGTGAAATATCATCGATCAATTATAAAAATCAATTTTGTTTTAAAAATCAATCTCCATCTCTTATAGTAGAACTCACTTTTCTATTTCGTAGTTTTGCAGTCACACTGTTGCGCACTTCGTGACATTTAGTTGCTAAAATAGGGGTCACGACGTTATAGGGCAATGTAAGGATTGGTTAATACCTAGCAGGTGGTTAATTGTTTCAGGATTACTGGTCCGCATTAATGGCTATAGGCTGCTTAAGCTAGGCGGATTAGTGATTATTGGCTGCTCGGTATGTAGGATGTACAATACAACGAAGCCGATTGTGGAAATTTTCGGTAACAATAGACTCGAGTACGATTCGTAAAGTGGAAATGCTTTAATTTCACCGACGTCGTGCGGCAATCTTGTGAGTTACAATCGTCTTTAATAGCTCCCAAAATATTTCATTTGGTAGGTATTAAAACTTACTACGTGCCACGTGGTTTCTATAGAGGATAGTGCGATATAATGTAATATATAGTATAACGGTAACAATTCCGTGCAATAACGCTGTTCGTGTATTTATTTTATTTTGAAATCTGCTTATGGAATTTGCATATCTATATAAATATTTGGCGTTACATATTTTAAGAACTTATATTTGTAAAAAGACCCTAATGCGCAGGTTATTATAGATAAACTTATTATACATATACATATATGCACACACAGAATATCTGTAATAGATTATTTTTGTTTTATAGAGAAAGAAAAGAAAATGTTCTCAATTGCCAAGTTAAAAGTGTTGACGAAATTTGGCGAATAAAACAATTTTTCTGGCCGACAATATACGTCCGTATCTGTATATGTATACTTTCGTGTACTTCTCTGAAATATATTTAATTATTATCCACTTCGTGCACTTTTAACTTGGCTGGAGTACTTTACGGTTTACTGACTCTTCCAGTGGTAGACGTAACGAAAGCAATTCTCTCTGTTTTATTATTGTCATTACCATACAATTCAAAATATAGAAAATTAAGGCTTGCCTGTTTCTAAATAATAATTGCTTTCAGAACATATAAATTAGGTTTTAATTTGTTTTTAATTTTTGCAAATAAAACGTATTTCTTGAAATAAAGATAATAACGAAAATTTTAACATATCAGGATGAAAATATAATAACATATCAGGATGAAAGTAATAGTAAAATTTTATGGAGTATTGAAGGGAGGGAGGATAGGATAATTGATAGGGAGTTCTATTGGGAATCCGGTTCCAAATAGGTGACGGAGTTTGTATGCGAACCTGCGTGGATCCCCTTTAGGAATAGTCTTATATTTAGGAAAATTGAGGTTCATTTCGATTTCCTTGAGGGAAGGGTAGGAATGTGTAGAAGGGATATGTTGTGTTGCCGGTACTGAGTTGTTATTCCTTTTATGTAACAATTTCGATAATTTTTCGTAGAGGGGAAAGGGATCGTGGTAAGAGTCAATGGCATTTTTGATTTGAAATCTTAATCTCTTTTCCTGCTGTCGAAATCCGCCTTTTGTAGGCATCGGAATTTATTATTTAAACAAACCAAAGGAATTGCTATTTTTCGGGATGGGACCACACGATTGGCAGCAACAGTCCTATAGATTGGAGCCGCGCTATTGGCAGCGACAATCGTAACAATTCCTCGGTATAGGTATTATTTAAGTATAAGAATTCTGTAAGTCTCGAAGCAGGAAAATGGGATTTGAATTTCAACAGTTTTTCACAAAAGTCTCTATTAATAACAGAGAGATAACAGAGAAATAATACGAACGGAGGTACGACCAAGGTACCTAGATGTATAGTTATAGCTTGATTAAACTGCTGAAGAGTGTTGGCTGGCTAAAGAGTGCTGGCTAGCTTCTGGCTAACTCCCCAAAGAGTGCTGGCTAACGAGTGCAGCTACGAGCTTGGAGGAACTCTTTATATATCCTAAGAGTAGGAAATGACCTATGCTCGCTTTGCTTATTTAAGGTTGTGGTGGGTGACAAAGGTCTACGTTTTCTCTTCCCCCGATTTTATCGAATCTTGTCTTAAAAATCAAAAAGTTTAAAACAATACATTTCTGATGAACTTCCTGTTCTTTTCTCTTAATTATTTTCACCCTTATGCGAAGCGAAGTATCTCTGTTTTAGAATCGTAGTTCTATCTCTTCTAGATTCTTAGATATAAAATATTTTTATTAATATTGTAAAAGAAGTGGAAAAGGAAGAGAAAGACAAGTATATAATATTCGTTTCGCATTAGAGGAGGGTTTTTGTTTTATGCTATTGTTATAAATAAATATATATATATATATATGAAGGAGAAAAAGGGTTTACTCGGGACGTAACAGTAGCTACAGGCTTTTTCTAATCTTTTACCGTCTATACTTACTTTTTCAGTAAATATTTGTAACATCTTTATATTTTAAAGACACGTCACTTATTTAAGACACGTCATGACATCGTGACACGACATGACATGGCATATATAAATAAAAAATCTGTCCGTTTACGCGTAATCCGCGAATCCCATCTCGAAATAGTTTGATGATTGCTGATCGGTAATTTTAGTCCAAGGTGTAGGTTGAATGACGCAAATCGAGGCCGCTCGAAAAACAGGAAACCCACCGCGTGTTGGCCTTTCCCCATCTCTTGTCTACTTGTAAGATCTCTTTTTTTCCCGCGATTGCACAACGGTTTCACATACCGCGATGTATTCATATTTCGTAAAAATCGTATCGTGCGTAAAGTTGCGCTCATACCCAGCAAATGCGGTTCTCTTTTTCCATGACCGTATATGTACCGCGATCCAATTTCCTGACCGGTTCGCTCGCTACGTGCGATCATTGTTTATTTCCGCCATTGCGACAGAGAAAAAATGCGAGTGCCGAGAAGCCCCCAATGCGGTTTTGCGGAATTTGTAACGTAAATGTGCACCGTGGAAAAATCAAGTCTCGTTGCTATTTCCTCTCGCTCGGTTCGTTTTTTCAAAAATGTATAATGACACATGCGGTATCTACATTCGATACTTTGTAATATCGAAGCTTGTTAATATTTAAATGTGATTACTAAAATGCAAAATCCCTGTTCTTTAAAGGAAACAATACATGCCTAGTAAGCAAATGGAACAAATCAGCGAAAACCTCATTACGATTTAAAAACAATTTTTCGCGGATGTTAAATAAATCAAATCTATAATTATTTATAATAAAAATGTTATATGCGCAATTGTAAATATTCTTTATACCTTTATTATACCTTTTATGATTTCATTGGTCAATTTCGTTACCGCAAAAAAGTTTCTGTCCCCAAAGTTTTCGTATCAGGATTTGAATTTTACTTTTCAGAATATGCTGTTAAAGTTACCCTCGTTCCATGGTTGCCAATGCACAAGGATTCGACCATTATTGGCATCGGTTCATATGTGTGCAGCCATTCGCGTAGTCGCGGTATATGCAATGCAAAGAGCGATCAACGCGAGAAAGAGGAAAATTACCTAATATCCGCGACAGTTGCGCATTTCCCGTTTACGAGTGTCGATATCATCGCGCCGCCTCCGCGTTATCGTTCCCACTCGGCTGTGCGGATAGACGGTGAAACTTTGACTTTATCAGGATACAAAGTAATGACAGAGAAGCTGCGCGGTCGATGAAACGTCTCTATGCCGTGCCATCGGAAAAGCTGCGGGTTTGGATAGTTTGGCTTACCGGCGTCGGCGAGGTAGCCGACGAGTGGCACAAACGGCTGCATTGATCTGATTGCGAGGATAGCCGAGCCTCCGCAAATGGCCGCGAACGACGTCCCGGAAGGCACGAAGATTGAATCCGTTGTAAGTAGCAATGGTATTTCGCAACGTCGATACCTGAGGGGGTTGGTACCGAATCGACGTTGCGCTTTACATTAGCCGGATTGTTCCCTATAATACCGGAACAGCCGCCGAGTAATTCTAATACCATTACGCTGCATTAACGGATCGATAGTTTAGTTATCTGGGGTCAATTTAAATCTCCGACGAGGCGAGACCCTACGGAAAAATTAATCAAAAAGTAACGCTCCTTTGTGCCCGGTTTGTACGTTCAAAGCTTACAACGTCCGGAACTTTGATTCCCAATATTAAGAATTTAAATAGTTGGTCTGGCAAAGTTTTATTACTAATTTTTCGTTCAGGAAACTCTTTTACGCGGTATCGAGGAGTAAGGTCTAATAGCTTTTTTATCCGGAATACATTATACTTTTCGTATATCTTAGATATTGTTGCATTGTTGATATAACCAGACAGCCGTGTAACAAGAAAATATATGTAGCGTAATATGCGGAAGTTGACCGTGTCGAGCATATTATTTTATGGTTTACGAGAGATTCCACGTGCACATGCATCATGCGACGTCACATGAGCGCACAGCGCGTTGCCGTTTAAATCATTTGGCCGTACAAATCTTAAAGAATAATACTCTGAATGCCAACAACGCTCATTGCTTTCTCATTTCGAGATATACCGAGCTTGAGAATTCTCTATGCGGCGGAGAAAAATGAATCGAATGTAGGCCAAACATAAAACGCCCATATAATTGACGGAAGTACATTCAAATTAGCTAAGGCTAATTTCGATAAAAAGATTTAATTATGAATAGTTATCGAGCACTTGTACCTTGTTTTTTTTAATAAAAAGAATACATTGCGTTTTTATATTTCTCACATATATAAAAATCCGTAACGAAAGTAATTCATATTACGTCATCGAGAACATGGTAAATTATCAAGTTGAAATATCTATACTAAATAAATGGTATCATGACTAACACAGTTTCACATTGCAATTTTCTATTAAATTACGGAGCAGAACTTTGAGCATTGAATCATCCGAAATTTCCGTTTATCGTTCCGATAGCGCTGACCGTCAATTTTAGGATTTGCGAAAGGTAATGTCTCATGTCGCTAAATCATAGATTATTCTAGATAGTGTGTGTGTCTTCTTTCAACGAACATATAATAAAAATCAGGTTTATCCTCAATTAATCTCTTGCGTCAAAGCTCTTCTTGCAATCGTTACGCACGCTGTGTGTGTGTGTGTGTGTGCGCGCGCGTGTGTGTCTGCGTGTACATGAGATGCGACGGATTTTAGAGAGCATTATATCTTTATATCTTTTATGTTCCTTCGATCTGACCGAATCTGATAAATTTGACGATAATCGGTTTTTTTTTATGAAGGACGACATATTTATGGCCACGGTCCAAAATGTGTACAGCTACAAATGGCTGACATCAAATGTAAAAATAAAAAGAGTTATTAATCCGCGAATTGCTGTGCAATTCTAAGAAAAGAAATGCGGATATGTTTGAAGATTTAGGTCAGAAATAGGAACAATATTTGTTGCCAATATTTGAAGACTGCTTGCTTGCGAAGAATGTAACCATGCAATCGTTAAAATTGCAATATGTTATATTTTAATATCTACTGACCTGCATTCTGTGATTTAACATTGATTTCTTCTGGGGATAACATAATGTAAACTCTAAAAATATTTCGTTTATTCTTTACAAATATTCCTTCGAGCGAGAATTTTCCAAGTATTTAGGGAACCATTTATTCGCCTCGTTTCTCTTCAAATCTGCTATCCGAGAATTTATGATCTTCAATGCAGAATTGTTTATCTTTCGTTTCATAGGTAAACATGAAGTCCGACAAACTTCGTAATAATGTGATGTCGACGGAGAAAGAAAAGAGTATCCCATAATTTCTTAGGTACACAAAGGCATTTATGAATTGTGAATTTTTACTATACCGCAAAATGTAATCGTAGTGAGGATTTAAAACGTTTAAAGCTTCATAAGAACAACAAAATATAATTACTTTCGACCACATTCTCAACGCGTGTAATGTAATGCAATTATTAGGTTAAAAAATTTGGTATTTTCAACGTAATCCAGAGCCGCGTGTATTGTTTCCAACGTCATGAGTCACACATTCGCGGCTTTCATGTTACAATAAATAGATTTCACGTGGCTTTACAGAGGGGATTTCCAGGCGGGGTATGTGGTAACTGGTTAATATGTACACTATGCGATTTTATGTATTTAATATAGTATCAAAGTTTCGTGTTTTAAACCACATAAAGCCGACTAAAATGTGACGCAAATGCTTGCATTTGCTTGCACGCGTAATCAAGATTGTAATTGTTATTAAAACGCGTTAATAAAAGTGTTATTTAAAAAACTTTGTTTTTACTGAAATATTAAATACCGTAGCAAGAAAATATACGTCACGTGGACGCTGCATTTTTATTTCTAAAAATGTAATTCAAAGAATGTATCTCGATCAAACAATATTTCTACAGTAATATTCTACTGTAATATTAGATATTACGACAAAAATGTCTTTCAATTGCCAAAAAAAAATCTTGTCATTGTTCTCGAAAGGGCCGGGATTTATCAATCACGAAACTAACGACGTTTTATTAAAAACGGAAGTAGCTATCGTTGAAGAAACGAGCTGACGGATCACCGGAAGCGACGACAGTCGAGACGAGCGTGAATGAAGGGTCATCCGTGTTGCAAAGTCGCAGTAAAATCGCGAGCACGCGCGCTTCTAATCTCTTTGAGACGCGTGTGAAACCGCGAGATTAATTCGCCAGTCCTTTCGCGCGGTTCTGCTGTGCCGGGGACAGTTGATGACATTTCATCGCTTGAACTAAAATGGCTGAGAAGGGACAAAGTGTATACATCTGACCTGACTGCATCCGTTTTCCGTCTATTTATCTACAGGGATAAACATTATTTGACCACACAAAGCAGAACGGAAATAGTAATTGGAAAACGACGGGAATTTTTAAGCGGAGACTGCGGCGAATCTTGACAAAGTAAAATGGAAACGCGATTGACGCTTTTCTCACGAACTTAAGGTGGCTCCTGCATAAATCGACCAAAAGTAGAAATAGTGGAAATTTAAGTATGTTGTAGTTGTCAATTTTATCTATCGGTACGCGAAATTTCAGACCCGGTCGCCGATGAAATGAAATAAAGAAAAAAAGTTGAAGTTGTATTTTTTTAACATTCCAGTAAACACCAAGTAACAGTTACTTAACACTAATATTATAGTTTTCTACTCAACAAGATAAATGTAATATAACGGCCGCGTTAAATTAAAGTTTCTCGTACGTAACTCCTTTACATCTCATGATATGACTGAAACATCCCCGAAACGTTTCCAAATGAGGTTATTGCACGAAGCCTGACATGAGATCTCGAACCTTCATATTCATCAGTTCGCCTACAGATCCGTTCGTGGCTGCTGCGCTTAATCTGGCGCACCACCTGACGGACGGATTGCATGTGACGTTTCGCGGCGTATTTCATTTCACCTGCGAGTCGGGGTGTGCGGCGATATCTGTACAATGGAACCTTCAGCATTGTCTGCAGGAATATTGGCTTTTGTTGAAGGGAGGACAGGTCGAGATGCAGGAGATGAGACCACGGTGACGGCGGCCGCAAGCGAGACTGCAAAGGAGACCGCGGGCGGCTTGGCCAATAAGGGCAAGGTGGCAGCGCTTTAAGCGGATCAAACGGAAACGATTTGGGTAGCTTTATCCGAGGGATCGCTTTCACGCAATTCTCATGCAGCAATGTAACCCGGCGTCACACAGAAGAACGCTCGAAGGGCTCCCTAGTCGCTCGCTCGCCTTTACTTTGTTCCGATATGACGCGACGGTCCCTCGGCGTCAGCGATATTTTTTGAGCGTGACGCTTTTCAGACGAATCAAACGACCACAGCCGAAAAGACAATGTCTCCGAAGGATAAGGTGGATTGGTTTATAAAACTGAATTATTAAATATACACTAAATTTTAACTCCGACCTTTTTAAGATATAAATCAATTACATTAAATGCCATTTAGGACCTGGTACAGGTGGAAGTAGCCAATTATCCTGGCTGAAGTAATATTTTTCGCAATAAGAATTTTAATTTTAGTACGGGGAGGGGGGGTTATCGTAATAAATGCTAAATATAGCAATGAAAATAATTTATCAAATCGTTCAGCGATTTTATAGCACGCGAATTCACTGACGACAATGATTCCACCTAACGAAAAATCCTGTGTTATGTTACGTCCCGCTAGACCTCGGTTTAACTGAACGCTAAGTTGCTCTCTGTTTTGGACCTACCTGCGTACACAGGTATTAGCCCGGGATAGCGAGAGCACTGGAGGGGGAAATAACACTACGAGGAATGGAATAAAATTGAATTGTGCGAATAAAAAATATTGAGGATAAATTCTTTCAGTATAATTAAAAGAAAATCAAAATTATTGACTTACAGTGTTTCAACAAACCTCTTCAATGTCACGACTATAAATGACGCGATTGCGTCGCCTCGATGACGATCTGCCCCCTCATTGTCTATGGAATTTTTAGGAGTAGGGATAGGTGTCGGCGAAGATCTCGAAGGGCTAGCGATAGCGAGGTGTTTATAGGAACCGCGATACCGCTTCGCGTTAGCGTAATCAATCTGGGCGATTACTGTAACGGCCGGATCTAATCTTTGGTATGCGAAAGAATAATAACTGCACGTGCAGCTCTTAAGAATCAATCTTTTATAACGGCGAATTTCTATAACTCATTCTAAAAGAGAGTCGCAAAAAAAGAAGTGATAGCAATAATAATATTCTGACGTCCCCTGGGACGTCACAGTTGTATGTCCGGAAGTAACGGCGCGCAGGACAGGGTGGAAAAAAATACGATATATGGATTCACATAGTAATTTAACTGGGCTACTTTCACCTGTGCCAGATCCTGAAATAGCGTTTACGTTTGTAATTGATTTATAAAATGTACCGTTACATCTCTGACTGTATCGCGTATGACATTACACTCGGATTATTGAATTTTTCACGAGCAAGTGTGCGTATTTCATTAATTTCAGTTCGACTGAGATAAGATAAGACGATCGTTTGATTTGCACAGGTTCTCGATACATCAAAGGGGAAGGTAGGGAAGTTGGAGCTCTTGAAGAATTTTACATCAGGCTACCTTGTACAGATCTTATTACAGGTATTGGAAAGAGACCGCGTTGATCAAGTAGCTATCTCATAAAATATTTTCTTTTAATCTTGTGATGTAAGGAGGGACGTTCTGTTAATTCCGGTAAGCACGGTCCTTTATTGCCTACGACGTACTTGCGAATCCCATTACGGGAATGCAGAAATTTTCTCGGAGATATCGGATTATATATAAATTCCCGTCGATTAATTAACTAAAGACTCTCGATATTAAAATTAACAAGGAAAAATGGGCTTTGAGAGTTCAAAAGCGGTTAGTTGTGCGTGAGTTACCGGATTATACACTTAGCTTTGCCGCGCTCGCCGGCGGAAAAGGCGAAACGAGAAGATTAATGCTTTGAAGAAACGTAATATTAAATTATACGAACAATAATAACGTGGAAATAAATAAAAATCAAGTGCCACGGCAACTGGTATCGTAATGTCTGGCGTACGGTGGAATAAAGTTCCGGGAAAAAGTTACCTTTCACAGCCTCGTTATAGTATAATTTATCTTACAGCCTTACATCGCGTTACATGGCGTTTTAGTTCCGCCGTTCTTTCTGTTCATCAGTCCCGCGTCGCTGCATTATTTATCAGCGTTACCTTACAATCCGCATTACCGTTATCGCGAGTTACGTCCTTCCCGCGACGGGAACTGCCGCGAAGGAGATCGCCGCGGCAGAAAGGTGATGACCACGGCGAAAATTCGAGGGACAGGGGCGAATCGTCGGTGGATGCGGCGGCATCGCAGTCTGCTCAATATTCAATGAGGCAAGCTGAAAGCGCCGTCGCTCACTCGACAGAAAGGGACCGATATGTCTGCACCGGCGGCGCCTGCAGCGGTAACGCCGACGTCGAACCGGATTGATCCCCGAACGACGGATGCACTTGGGCGAGATACCGCCGGAGTGCCGATAGCGTTATCGAATGATCAATCTAAAGTAGTCGCGCCCTTCACACTGGGTGGTGACAGCCCCCGAAACGGGGGCTGAATCTCCCGTCGCGTAACCGAATGCCGTCGCATCTCTGCCTACAAAACCAGACGCGACGCAATCCGGAAACGAAGACGTCCGCAGTGGGATCGACCGTCTCGATACCGCTGTCCGAGACATCGCGACGTCGTATTCATAGTATATGCAAACTGCTATACGTGAACAGGATGTCGAAAAATACGCGCCGATACGATAGAGTCGATACGGCGCGTTGGGGAATGCTGTACGAAATATTTACAAACCACAGCCCACAGATTTTGATGAAACTCGATATCTCTGCGGAGAGAATGTAAATAAGTCTGACGTGATTTTTTTTTCTCGGTTCCGCTCAATGTACATATGCCGTCGGGAATGGAAAAAGAATCTCCGTTCCGCAAGGAAGTAAAACGCAAGATTAATTTGAATGTTACTCCGCGAAATTTCGGAGCCTCTTCAGACAGGCGATGAAAATAGGCCAAGACTAAAGAGGGGATCTTTGTGGCGTTTGAAAGAGATCGTTGCGCGAGATGGATTCGTGGACCGATTCAATCAATTCATGATTAAACTGCACTGACGCACTATCAATCACTTACGGTTAGATATGTTGAATGGGAAATCAGAGATCGCGGTAATGCCGCGCGAACGGTATCGAAGAACGAAAATACCTTGAAATTTTGCCATGCGATTTCGGGACACATACGAAATTGATGTCGACAGTGACGCAGACAGTGGTCAATGTTCGAACGCGGCGACGAACACTCGAATAGCATTACGGCAATCAATCAGACCACTATTAGCTTGCGGCAATCAATCGTTACGTTTGATAGCACCACTTTACCGGCTATGCAGAAGTAAAACTAAGTTTCTACCACCGCAATCCATCCAGCGGCTGTTTAAATGTCAATGACGTGGCATGCGACTAATTGCGAAGCGAAGAGACAGTCGACGCGAACGGCTTTTCGCCGTTAAACGGACGCGGGGGACGCCCTGTTCCAGCGTCTTTTTTACCTAAACGCAAAATATGCATAAAACATACGCCGCGTAAATATTTTATTATATTTACCTTTCCTCGCAGGGCGAAATTTATTTTCCAGCTTTACGCATGCGATCTTTTTGAAATTTATGTTGTCATATTGCAAATCACATTTTTTACGGTCATATTATCTCTCACGTGCCGTTTTTACAGAAAGATAAATATGGAGATGGGGATTATTTGCCAGCGTTTGCATAGCCGCCTGTCCACGCTGTTTTGATACTTGCGATACACGACATGCCATTGGAAATGGCAAATTGTTCTCAATCGCTAGACTAGAAAATGATAGACAGTGCCAATTTATCATCGTCTCCGCTTACGTACATTAGTGCAACAGTGAGTGTAACATGTTTATTGAGTATCCAGATTTCATCGGTGAAACGTTGGGCCGATATCGAGCTTAGAGATTAATGATTTGTTCGTAATACGCTCAACGAAACGCGATCAGCTTACGAAATCATTCGGAGTTTACCTAAATTATCTATACAGCGACCTGCAAGCCCTGTTTCGATCGAAAAGCTACAGTATGCATATATCTGTATTGAAAATTATAATTCAAAAATATATTGATCGCGACTATTGATATTCGCATTACTGATAACCTCATTAAAGATTTCGAAGATAATTGAAAATCCTTGCCACGAATAATTCTTTGTGTCATAAATAACGTAATATACAAACTGCATGTTGTATCCTTACAATGGTCATGTATTAATGTGTAAAATATTAACAGATATGCGCATTTAATTCCGCTAGACAACATTTGCAAACCATGAAGCGGCTAAAAAGTTAGTAGGGGATACAGCAGAAGTCAGAGTATTCCGTATTTCTCTTCTTCTGAAGGTAGACTTCGATATTATGGAAGTAGCAATTCGGCACAATGACGAGAAGGTAATATTGCCGGATCCGGCAATCGTGGATATCTTTATTTTAATCTGGCCGGTAAACCCGAGGCAAGAGCGGAGAATCCTGCTTGCAAGAAGCTTATCAAGATGCGCTGCTGCTGATAATGCACTTCTCTTCCGGGGGAAAAATAATAAAACAAAAATCGAAATGTTGACGAATGGAAATGCACGAAACGAGCGTGACTTACGTTCTATTTATTGTCGCGACAGATAATTCAGCGGTTAAATAAAATATGGGCGGTATACGGAGTAACTTTCGTAAGCGCAATAATCCCTACAAGAGCTGCCGGCATTAAAGTGACTTCGCGAAGTCGAACTGCGCGTTGCAAGAATGTCGCTGCAATCTCTGTCGTGTATATCCGTGTAATCCGTCGCAGTGCGGAGACTCGCGGCGCGTACTTAAATTATGGCAGCCGGCTATCAACATGCTTTCGCAGCAAAATATGTGAACGTTACAGCAGTGATAAAGGACGTGGCAGTGGCCAAATCCGACCGCGCCATTAGTTTCCTTCTCGAAAAGCAGCAGCGGACGTATATATACTACTGCACGGTGAAATCAAAATCCTCTGAAAGAGCTCTTAGTTTAAATCTCCATATTTTAGAAGTTTATCACACTTCTTTTAAAGTTTCTGCGTTCGCTCACTAAGATTTATCTATTCTATTCGACGGCATTTCTCTTTATCAGTAGAACAGCGTGTAATTTGTCGATGCGATCCTTAATCGAAAGGATATTTCGTTCTTCCGTAATTGCGGATATATTTTCTTCAATCTTCAGTCTATCTGGGGAAAATGTATGCACGATGATTGAGGGGAACTTGATGCTTCTCGATTTATCTGTATGTCGATAAGACTCGCTCGAGCATAAACCACAGATTCCCGAGCCATAGCACACACGTCAGCCGGACGTTTACCTTTCACACAAACGATGAGCTTGCATTTACGTATGGTAATTCTAATTTAGAACAATGCTTCTCTAAACTATACTTCGTTTAACATCTGTCTGTAATGCGGCAGTTTGCGGCTCTACCGCGGTTCTGTTTCCGGTTAAAGTGGCAAATGAAGACATGGCGAAGTGGCGTTGAGCACAGTCTCCAATTATTAAATTATGGAAATTATTATTTTTCTCCATATAATTTCGAAAACGGAATACAATTAATATTTTTAAAATGCAATTCTCTCTCTCTCTCTCTTAATAAACGTTTTCGCGAAAAAGTAAGAATATAAATAATCTAGCATTATAATACCCCAAATCTGTAACATTTATGTTATAATGTCGACGCACTGAAAATTACACGTTGACGTAAAATTTCATTCTTTAATTTGTATCCCTATATATCTCTATTATACTGTTATATAGAAAGATTATATCACAAGCAATTCTTTTTCAGAGGGAGTTATCCGGCTTAAATAACATCTTATTACGGGAAGAAGCTCGGCGAGACATACGAACTGACAGTATATTTCGATCCACGTAATTTCTTATAAAATCCGTCTCGATATATTTCAATCATATCTTGTTGTCAGAAGCAGGTTGCCGCTGGTATCAGAGAACGGCTGACAAAGGAACGCCGACTTTCATTGGACGGGCAGTATGCTACTTTCCACAACGATGGAAGAGATACGCGAAAGTAGGGGAAACGCGCGCCTCAATAATCTATACGCTTCGTATCTATACGTATACACGAAAGACCTGTCGTATATCATTTCAGATAACCGTACTGAACATGTGTAACGACCGAAACCGGCGGCCGGCAGTAAGTGGGTGTAAATAATGCAGTCAGCCGTCCGGCCGTCCGCAACGTGACGCGTTTGTCACTGAGGGGAACCTTGCCTTTTTCAGCGTGTCTGTATTCCACGTCGACGCCACATCCACGCTTTACATTTATTTTGTATGACTTTCTCTTTTTTTATTATAAATAAAAGAGCTACATACGTATGGTGTATTCCCTTACAGAAGTCCCCAGCCACTTTCCATCTATGGATTCCTTGACCACTCTAAACTTTTTGTTGCAAAAACGTTGAGAGAGATCACGATTTCTCGTGAATCTTTAATCTCCCGCGAAATTATAAATGTCCTGGTGACTAATCTATATATCGCAAGTTAGCATCAAAGTTTACCCTAGTCTTAAGTGAAAACGAAAAGTAAGGTATTGCTCCGTTCATCTCTAATTTATAAACGGTAAAATTTTACAAAAGCGAACCCGGCTCCAAACCCGGCCTTGATCTTTCTACGCTGTTTACACTCGCCGTGAAAACTAATCATCCTTCTGACTGACCCTCAAGAGATTTCAGCCGTCGTTCATTGTTCATTAAAAAGTTATCAACGAAAGAAGTCATATAAATAAAATAATGGGTCTGCAAACTGGCTGCACTAGTTCAGAGTTTATCTTCTTCGGTCCACATTAGAAGGAGAAAGATAAACTCTGAACTGGTGCAGCCAGCCAGTTCAGCTATAAAGAACAAACCCATAGATTTTCTCTGACGGTGTATAATTAGACCTCGCTTCGCGTGGAAAGTCGCAAACCATGAGGAACCGTATGACGATGGAAGTGGTCTCGCCCCGAAAGCAGAGGTCGGCGTGAAAGCTCTCGCTTCGCGTGCAAGTTCGCGAGGGATTTGTTGTGATATGTTAATGGACAACTTGGTCCCTATCGTTTAGTTGATATTAGCATGGACATATATCTAAACTGCTGAGGTATATTCTGTTAAACGGTGTCTGAAAATTTCATATAGTTTGTAGAAATTCTTTTATCAATAACTTTCGTTATTAATTGTCATTGAAGAAAAAGATGATTTCCAGATTAGTTAAAAGAATTGTCAATAAAAAATATGACCAATTTCGTAGGAATACCGTTGCGTTTCTACTGCAGACGTGTATTTTCGCACGTATAAAAGATTACAGCGTGATAATTCGATATTAGTGCGAATGAAACAGAGAAAGGAAGTAACGTGTAACGTGAGCAACCGATGAAATCTAATACAAGACGAAAACTACCGACGAACCGGGCGACCTACGCTAAGCTTCATCGGTTCTGAGTATCGTATAACAGCGCTGGAGCGTCCCATAATGACTCGCAATTATTAACATTCAGCTCGAATTTTGAGACGTCTTCAGCCCTCATTTGCTGGTTAATGAATTTAATCTACCGTCGAGTAAAATGTCCAGAGACGGTAGTCTCTCAGGAACTCGTTGGAGACGGAGAAAGTATCGCGAAATAGGAGCAGGAAATGAAAAGATAAATACATAATTATTTAATGCGTCCTGTGCGCCTCGCAAAGAATTTTACATAATAAACAGTTGATTGCTCCCTCTCGAGTACTTGCAAGTGTAATGGATAAATAATGATCTAATAAAAGTGATCTAATATCGAAAGAAGATAAAACCATCCCGTGATTGTAATTACAGCGATTCAATAAGAGAGCGATAGATAATTGCAGTAAATTTAGTAAAACAGAGAGAGAGAGAGAGAAAGAAGTAGCGAGATAAATTTACGTACGATATGAAAACGGCCGAAATGGAAAGAAGATAGAGCGTGGAAAAGTTTTTCCGCGAATTGAATTTATTAACTGAACAAGTACGGGACATGAATACTAATCCACCGTCCGGTTGTATTTTGCATCGTAAGTTAGACATGACACAGTATGCCAGAGATGTAGCTAGAAACTAGATACACAGCGAGACTGTTTCTGTTATCACACCGTTACAACGTGCACTCGAAATTACAGTCGCGATTTTTATAAATGATTCAATTCTCCGGAGCATAATTATACAAATGTGATTACTTAATACCAGACGAAATTCTTCTTCTTTTGCCTTCGTTATAAAATTATGAAGATCCATGTTGAGCGAAAAGTTATAATTTGTAAAATGAAAAATATCTTACTTAAGATTTCAAAGGCATCCCTGATGACACATTTTATAACAGAGAAATTGCGTTATGACAATTTTTTCACCCGGATTTATGTAAAATTTTCCGAAGTAGGTTACGTTATACTGAATTATTTAATCAGTGAAGATAGCGCGTTGTAGAACGAATCCCTTGGTCATTCATACAAACTTAGCGACTGAACGACCTGCCAGAGATCTTGAGATGTCATGAAGAAAACTCCCCGCGAATGGCTGGCATAGCATGATGTTCCACTTAGATGAGATATTCACCTGGGGTTAGAAATGGTATCGCCGGTGCTCTGTATAAAAATCGATCTTAGCATTTTCTACTACCTTGTTCGTTCCGAGTAAAACCACGAGAGAATCGATTTTAATATAAAAAATAATAATTTGAGAGAGAGAGAGAAGAAGAAGAGAGGGTTTCTCTTGTAAATTCTTCGCTATTTTTCTTCCCTATAAAGTTTTCTAAACTGAGTGTTCAGTCTAACAATAAGATGCAACGTATACATAAGCTTTTATGCCCAGGATAACATTATCCTTAAGTTTTATGAGTATTAGCGCATCGCACGAAAATCCTCCGTTGTGTAGACCAAATACAGAATATAATGATTCCGAGGATCATTCTGCTGGAGCGTTGCTGATAGCAAATAACCGACTCGTACATCATTACAGAGGCGCCTTGGATATGTAGCAGGCGAGCTATCTAAATTATTAGCACAAGTACTGGCAAATATTGACCTATACTCACTACCGGTTTAGCATCTCTTCGACATGCGGCTTGATCGTTACCTGCGGGATATGTCTCTAGCGGAGATAGTGCGGTTTCGCTTACACTGGGAGACCGCGCGGCACCGGCGGAATCGATAACATCCGTGAACGGGGGTTCCTCTACATAGGTTCTTCGGTATTTGCGCATTTAATTGCCGCCATGAACTTCGCCCGGTTATCGCCTTCGGCGCGGGATTAACCGCCCTTTATTAACCTTTGAGTTTTACACGCAAGTGTTATCAACAGCACGAAATTTAATTCCAAAAACGACGTTACGCTCGATACTTTTTACACTGTTTTAATCAAGTGTGCAATAAATTTATGTAAAATATACACGATATAATTTTTACATTAATATACACATATGTAGAACGTATTTCCATTAGAATTAAAGTGATCATGCACTTGTAATTTATTCGCCATTCAGCAAGACTCTTTATTTATTAATCCCGCCTCTCCACAGTGGCTAGATAATTTTAATGAAAAAATTTCATTAGTGCAACTCAAAAGCGAAAGCTCAACGTTGAATAAATGTTAATGACATAATTTTCATTATAATCTGTGCGGAAAAGTTAAAAAGCGCTCAAAATCTCATTCGCCACGATTTGGATCTCCTAATTTGAGGAGAAATTAATCTAAATTTAAATCTCTCGGGTGTTTTAATCCCGCCTGAAATGCTCACCGAAGCACAGATTCTCACTTAAACTGCGCATGGAATATATCTTTTTTTTTTCTCTTCAATCGCGATAGATTACTTTGTGGTAGATTATAAAAATTGTCCGACCGCTCTTTTTTCCCCATCGTCTGATATTTCGTGCGGAGCAGCTGGCGCGATCGATTTCAAGGCAATTTTCTAATACGGCCATAAATCAATTTTAGCACGATAGGATTTCAATAACACTCACGCAATCGTCGTATCCGTATTAAACTTTATCCTCGATATTGGGTTAACGGTGGTTTCAAGCGATTTTTGCTAAATTTCTACCTGGCTATAGTTGAAGTAATAATGTTTTTTTTCTCCAAATACCATGAGATATTATTCGATACTGTTTGACATATCTCGTATCACAAGTTCTGTATACTTACGTATCTTTGCCATTTGCATTCTATCATATGAAGATAGCTCTTTTCGAGATTAAAATTGAACTTTAACAAAAAAAATCGCACGACGTATACACACATTCGGGCATACTGTTTTATATTTGCAATTCCATATCCAATTTTAATTCATACTTTTAATTAAATTAATTTACACAGGTTACTCCTACACACGATACATGTGCATCGCTATGTTATATAGTGAATTCTCATGATCAGGAGAGCTTCACTAACGAGGAGGTATCCTCTAGCAGGCTATATTCCAATCTCAAAGTTACGAAACGTGTTCTTTCGTGCTAAAATATGAACGCCGCGGCGCTGGTGCTTTTACAACACAGATTTCGAAAACTTTGGTTCGTTAATTTCGTTCAAGCAGTTTCGCGTCGCCACCGCTAAAATGAGAGTGGAATATTTTAAGTGAATAACTTCCTAATAGTTTGAATCGCACGCGCTGTATTTGCGACGTGGCTGCTAAATAATCTGAATGCCGTGGTACAGAACTTTTCCGCGGTAATAACATTCACCTTCGCACTTAATTAATAATGTACCGTTCTTTATGACGATTAACATTTTGTCGCGATGCTTTCATTACGCACCGATAACTAGTCATTTATTGATATCACCATCAAACGCACTGTAGCAATACACGGAGACCTTATACTAATTACATAATTAAAATAATGGTACGGTCAGTTATCGAGCAGTGTTTACTATTTATGAACCGTCCGGTCAATATTGTGAAATGTTACCTATCGCATTGTTTGCGTCATGAATGGGAAGAGTATAGCAGTATAGAATTATTGATTATCGTAGCCATCGATAATGCTGTCGCGTGTGTATTACGTAATTAATGTTTTGCCATTTTATCACAATTAATATCTTAAACTTTCCCTTAATCTCTTTAAAAAAAAGTGGCTTTTTGTCATTAAAAAAAAATGCAATAGGATTTGTAAAATTTCTGCGCCTCACCTCTTATTTGTAGGACTAATATTATCATCTTACATATATGTATAAGATAAATTTTGACTGTCGCAATTTGCTTGACAAATCGAACCACGATGGCTCCCGGTAGCGTCGAGTGCAACAAACGCTTACTGTAATTCAGAAAAGAGACTGCTTTCCAACTTATGATTTGATTCTTTTGTGACACAACAATACGAAATAAATAAGCCCATGCGAGGATAATGCGAGCGCGAAGAATGGGCGGAAGAATAAAAGTTTTTGCGTTTTACTATAAAGCGAGATTTTTCATGAAA